ATATGGGGATGGGAGAAACCCACCCAAATTAGCTTCGGTTAAACAGGCTTATAATAATTTGGGTAAATGTGTAAGCTAGATTTTTGCTTATTTTTTCACATCTTCATGGACACCACAATGATTTCCTTCGTGTGTTAATATTTTTCCTTGTAATAATGTATGATTTTCAAAAATGGGAACTACTGCGTCTGTGTAGATGAGAGAAGCAAAGTGTATGCGCGTTATGCACACGCTACATTATGGCACAGAATGCGCCCTTAAAATAGCATCTGAATAACGCGCCACTGACTTTAGACTAGGTTTTTCCTGGTCAGTGGCGGAATTGTTTTCTGGAACTGCAAAATAGCACCAGGGAACGTTTGCGCCGAAACACGCCTCCTCTTTTCGCTGAACCGCCCCGGGAGCGCAAGTTCATTTCCTAGTTTACCGACGTGCGTCTGTGGAGGGAAAAAAGCCGCTGTGCGTCGGGTGCAAAATAGGAATGATACATGCGTCGGTGTAAAAAGTCAATTGCGCTTGCTGCAAGATTTTTGCACTCACTTTGTGTGCGAGTCATTTAATCATTTATTCAAATGATTCGATCAATAACACTAATTCATTTAGGAACAAAACAAGTGGCTTGCTGTATTCGGAACCATGTAGGCTACTAGCATGCTGCTCACTATGTCTGCCATAGAAAGATATGATATAAATAGTAATGGAAGTACTAGAATGCGGTTCTGAATTCAGCGGCTGTCTTTGAGCGAGTCATTGAATCATTCATCATTAATTCAAATGATTCTTTCATTAACAATGTTATTAAAAAATAGTAAAATTAGTACACTTGAATGCTGTTCCAAATTCAGCAACTTTCTGTCATTATCAATCACTGAGTCTGTCATTGAATCATTCATTCAAACCTTTTGTTCGGTAACACTGATTCATTCAGGAACAAAACAAGTGATTGACTGAATTCGGATAACCATACTAGCATACTGCTTTACTATTTTGCCTTTAATTGGTAGAAAAAGTAATAATAATATGTTTCTATTCTAAAGTAAATTCACTCATTTGATTCATTAAAAACACTGATTCATTCAGGAAAAAACCTGACCTTTATGAGTGATTCATAGTGAATAGCTGTTTACTTGCTGTTATAATATAAGTGTTGTGTCTTTTCTTTTTTGTCAGATTTATAAATATTTTGTGTTTTGAACATAAAATTATACTTTAAAGATTTTTTTTATGTTATTGTAAGATATTCATTCTCCCAAAATACAGTTGCACTCTCTCATATTGCTTGCAGTGCAATTTTTGCTCACATATTCAGACATTTTCCTCCGCAGACCCCTATTTGTGACAGACCTCATTGCTATACAAGTTTCTGATGTGCGTCTATGCGTTCTTAACCCATGTAAAACGCCTTATGACGAAAAGGATCTCTTGATAATTACTAAGCGAGCTGCTTTTCCCGCTGGCTGAATCCTGCAGTCAACACCCAGTAAATTTCCGATCTCGCCTTACTGTATTTCTTTATCATCCATATGATATCTCATGTAGATCTGAACCTGTGTGAATGGCAGTATTATGCCTCCGAACAACATGCAGGATGTAAAGCCTCACTCCAGGGTCAGACTTCACGAGTCTCTCCGGTAAATTGAACCACCAAGGACATAATCACCGCAAACAGCCTCTCAGCATGTGTGGTAGTGTGATTGTACGCTGTGTTTTTAGGCAGAGGGGGAACCGGGCTCCGCAGTGACAGAAAAGGCAACTGAGCTGCAGAGACAGAAAGAGCCCTGCAGAATGCACAACACCAGCACCTCCTTTGTTCTGCTTTTTGGGAGGGCGCAGAATGAAGGGAGGTTAGCTGGGAGATGTCTGTCAGGCACAGAATCACTGATCTCTCTCTCACTCTGTCTGTCTGCTCAAATGGCAAATCCCACTCCTGAGGGGGAGATCACCATGGTGACAGCGCCTTGCCACGCATGCCTGTGGATGCTGCAGTGTAGGAGCGCAGAGCAGCCGCATGCTCCTATGGCAACTCCAACACGAACAGCCAGCTGTAGCTGCTGAATTCGCCTCCACGGCCCAAAAGTTTCTACTCCGCAAGAACATACCTGGTGCCAAGGCGGCTAGAATCGACAATAGACCACAGCCTGAACGGCACATGTATGTAGTATTGGTATTCAGGCCAATTTAAATCAGAGAGCATTTCTATTGGCTAATCTGAGGTCGCTAATTGTAACAGAATGACTATTTGAAGTCTTTTAATTAAAAAATAATCTCTTGTTTTTAGAAACAGACGGAGAAATTATTTTCGTTCATCTTTCCGCCACTTTGAGACTAATATTTGCTCCATTATTATGACGGTTGCTGTGGAAATTATCAAACGGAGCTGGTCCGGGCTAATATTCTGGCCATTGCTGGTATTAGTCAAGTTCATCAGAGGATTTGTCCACCAGGAGCTGTCTGACTGAAGTCATTATTTCTCCCGGCATTTCTGAAAGGCTTGCACATCTCTCTCTCTCTCTCTCTCTCTCTCTCTCTCGGCCATAATTACCTTAGTCCCACTCAAAGCCTGCCTCCACCGCTCCCGTATTCAAATATGGTTTAATTACCTGTGGAATTTTAATTGGCGTGGCCTGCCAGTGGGAAACGCGAAGGTGTCCAAGGTCATTCCAAGTCGTTCGCGAAACGCTCTCACCCACACAGACGACGCTGGCTGCCTGCCCGCACAACACGCATCACATAGAAGCGCAGGCTCTATAACCAGCACCTGCTTTAACAATAAAACAATAAAGAGAAAATGGGCACCTCACACCAACAGTCCGACTGATGCATTGTAGGGTTATGAGGTTAAAACATTTGATTTTATGGTGCACATATTTTTAGGACACAATGTGCCTACCACAGTTATTGTTAGTATTGTGAAATCATAATTAATGATTATGATTTTAAAAGAACAGATTTTAAGGATTTAAGAAAATATTTCAATCATTTTGTTTGGTTATTTTGTTTTGTTGTGCTTTAGTTGTGGCCATTATAGGCATAATCTCTACATATAGCAATTCACTTCGTAAAAATAGCTTTTAATGTAAAATGTTAAATGTTTTATAATTATATATTTTTTTTACCCTTTACTTATAATTGTATTGCTATGAAATTATTGACATTTAGGGTTTGACTTGGAAATTATCAAAGTGTCAAATATTATTTATTATTTTTTTTATTTTTTTTTTATACAGATTTTTTACAAATCATCCAGTTTTTTCCTCTGTACAGATGAAAACGTTATCAAAATGATTCCTGTTCTCACGGATCCGCAGAAACGACTAAAAACGCTGTATTATGCATGCCAGACAAGTAATTTGGCGATGTCACTTTGTAAAGAAAGACTACGCACCTCCCTAAACACGTGATGTGCATGCCGTCACCGTTTTTACAGATTCACGTTTTTAAAGTTTACACGGAGATGATAACGGTCGTTTTCAAAAATTTGCACTTTGAAACATATTTCAAAGTTTGCCCTCTCAGGCCGCCAAAACACTGTTGTCTTGTAAATAAACAGCTAGAACACATTAAAAGTTTTTTGTTTTCAGTTGAAAACCCTGTTGTGTAAGCGGCCCCTAAGTTAATTACTAATGATTTTTACAAATGGAATGAATCAATCAAATACTTACTTAAGCTAGACAATGACTTTCTTCTAGATATGCTGTACAGCTAAAATAATATTTACATTAATTTCCTATTATCACTGTAAAGCTGCTTTGAAACGATCTGTGTTGTAAAAAGCGCTATATAAATTAAGGTAAAAAAAAAAACACATTAGGCTAATGGTTACTGATACCAACCACATGTTTTGTTGTAGTGTGAATAAGCGTAACAAGTATGGTATTTTTGTTTTAAACATTGGTTGGTTTCCATGTCATCTTTAAGGCTCAGCCCTAGTCAATTATATTTTAAGTCACGCACAGATCCATATTGCCAGAAGTCCTTGGTCTGCTGGTGCTGATTTGTGCACGTTAAGGCAGTATCTGAGGATGACTGCCTGCAAAAGGGATTTAAATCTAGAACGTTTCACAGTCCGTTGAGCCCTGACCAAGCGCAAGAGCCACAAAAACAGGTTATAAAAACACAGCTCACGTTTTTTATTGTCCTCTCGTCATTCAGAATGTGTGTGAGTGTGTGTGTGTGATGACGTGCTTTTCTGATTCTAGGCAACCCAGTTTATATCTACAAAGCCTCACTCTGATGTGAATCTCAACTCCCAGTTGTTAACTGAGCTGAAGGTTTGAGGTTATGACTTAAAGGAAGCTCGAGGATAAGGTTAAATGAATAAAAGTATTAGCAAGAAATATTCTTTGAAAATAGACTCTCTATGGTCTGTTCAAAAAATCCCATATATGGGTTTTTTTACAGAACTTTTGTTTTTTGCTTTAGCAGACGCCAGATTATCTTTAGCAACACAGTGTTTACAGCACTTACACATTATCAGAGATAATTATCATCGCATCATTGAATAAGTCAAAAGCTCACAATATTGGTCAAAATAAAAATAAAACCACATATGTTTATGATCATGCATGTTTTTTGTAGGAAGACTAAATAAGTGATTCATTGGATGCCACATTCAAACCACATATGGTTGCACATGCCGTTTTAGTGCAATTAAAATGGAATTTCTCAAAAACTTAATGATTATTATGGGATTTGTATAATTGAGGGCTAAGGCTAGAATGAGCTTTGCCTTGTTTATATTTTGGAGGATGAGTCTCATAAACGAGTCTTGGCGGTTTAGGAATAGCACTGTCTTGTGGGACCAGAGTTCAAGCAGCACACGCATTTACATGAATAAATGTGCCAGTGGTTATTAATGCTTTGTTATGTCTTAAACAATTCTAATATTTCTTATCTCTGAGGGCTGAGCTTTGGCACAGACACTCTTCACACATTCAAGGTAATTTTTCAGAACTGTTGTGCATAATTCTCTGGGTTTTTGTTTTCTTTTTGTTGTGCAGTGTGTATGGATGCCCCTTGGCTAAGAAAAGGAAAACCCAAGAGAAACCTCTGCAGGAGCCAGCTTCCAAACGCCGTCCGTTTCTAACTATGGCTGATGGAGAGCCCGCCATGTATGAAAGCTATGAGCCAGAGGCCATGGAGGAGGGAGAAGAGAGGGAACAGGAAGTAGAGGAAGTGGAAGAAGAGGAGGAGGAAGGGGATGAGGACGGGGATGATGAAGAAGAAGAGTGCTCGGATGACAATGACGAACCAGGAGAGGAAGAAGAGGACGAGGAAGATGGAGAGGTGGAGAGAGGGGAGGCAGAGGAGATAGAGCAAATGGAGGAAGAGGTAGAAGAGGATGAGGAAGTGGTGGAGGAGGATGGGGATGATGAAGAGCAGGAAGACGACGAAGATGAGGACGATGAAGATGAGCACGAGGAAGAGGAATACTATGAAAATCAGAGTCATCAGCAAGGTAAGCAATGTTGTCTGATTTATTGCATATCCTGAATGTTCGTATAACCATGGAAGAACTTTCTTAAAACATGATTTGAACATTCACAGAACTTTCATAAATAACATGACGAGAACTGTTCTTAGAACACAAAAGTGTCAGCTGGACACGTGTGTGTGTGTGTGTGTGTGTGTGTGTGTGTGTGTGTGTGTGTGTGTGTGTGTGTGTGTGTGTGTGTGTGTGTGTAAAATATCTTTTGATGAGTTTTAAGAACTTATGACATGATCTCAAGAAAAAAAAATTATATTCATGTTATTGAAGAACTTAAAAATAATCAAAAGAGAATCTCTACACAATGTTAGCCAAAGTTCTAAGAATGTTCCCTGCCAGCTTGGACCAGGGAACACATTTATGTTCTAAGAATGATTTCTAGTGTTCCCATTATGTTATGAAAATGTGTTGAAAATTCCATAAACGTTCAAAATGTCCAGGTTTTTTTTTTTTCTTGGTTACATGAACATTCTGGAAAAAATTAGGAAATTGAATGTTTAGAATCTACAGATAGACATGTAGTTGCTCTGACACACAGAATGCTGCATGAAATATGAATCAAGGGCAGCTTATTGTAGGTCAACCAACATTTCAAAGTATAATTGACAGAGTATGCAGTCATTAAAGTCAATGTTTTATTTCCTAAATTGCCTGTTTTCGTTTCAAGTCATGCAGTATTTGTAATTTGCGGAATCACAATGAAATCTACATACACCCTGCAGAGAATGGCTGGCCCTCGCCATCCTAATTAATGTGGATTTTACAGCAAGGAACAATCCAACTCCCCTTACGAAATTGAGGGAAAGCAGATGTGACTGCTTCCTTAGTATGCGTCTCACCCTCATTCTCTGGTGTCCTCAATCGCTTGTGACAGTGCTTCCAGAGTAATAGAGAGAAGAGGCTCTCTGAGTTATTAACTTTGGCCCCCCTCCACACATGTACACCGCCATCCCGGAGGTGTCAAATACACTCAACCCCCCCACCCCTCCCCGGTGAAAATGGGCTCCTCCTGAGGATATTTCTGGCTCTAGAAACAGAGCACCTCATCCTCTGCTTATCCCTGCAGTCTCATCCGCCGCTGTCCCAAATACTAGCAACACTAAAATCTTTTCAGTACAATTGAGAGGCTTTCAGGGCAGCCTGTGCTGCTTACATGTTATGAAACATACATATGTCTTGTTTAGCATTTAAAAGGCTCCCTGATGATGATTCATGTACAGTACAGCTTACCATATTGCAGTTTCTCTAAAATTCATCCGTTTCTTTTCCGGAATACTCAAATATTTTGCTGCATAGTGGCACTTACCATCTTACTAAACTGCATTTGATTATTCAAATCAATTTGCACCTGTGTCATCGAGCTATACATGAAACCCTGGCATGACATTTGTCTTAGATTTGCTGCATCAATGCTATCACTCATGAGACGTTACATTTTCATAATGATAGTGTTCAGGCAGCTTCAGATTATAGAGAGGACTGACATTTCGTTTGTGAATTTATCTTGCCGCACAAGCCGCTTGCTTCTAAAATAAATCGAAAGGCCCTAGTGCGCAACGTATTCCAGGGTGTATTTTTGGAGCGGTTTAGAAAATGTCTACAAATCTTCAAGCAAATTCCATGTATTGTTCTCCTTTCTCTACAGACGACAATTATTCCTGTGGTGGACAATCAAAATCCAATCAAATACTTGAGAAGGACAATAACAATAACAACAGCATGAACAATGAGTATGAGAATTATGACGAGCTGGTGGCCAAGTCCCTCCTCAACCTGGGTAAAATCGCAGAGGATGCCGCCTACCAGGCCATGACTGAGTCAGAGATGAACAGCAATTCCTCCAACAGTGCAGGCGAGGATGACGATGAGGACGAGGATGATGGGAGCGAACAAGGAGGCCATAAGGGAGAGTTGAGTGTCGACTTGGATAGCGATGTGGTACGTGAGACCGTGGACTCCTTGAAGCTTCTGGCCCAGGGACATGGGGCCGTGCTTCCCGACGAGGGATACGCGGACGGCGGGTCTGGGGACACTTGCCCAGCTGGCCACGCTAACGGACGGGGCCACCCGGAAGAGAGCGAGGAGGAAGTGTGTCTCAGTAGCCTGGAGTGTCTACGAAACCAGTGCTTCGACTTGGCTCGTAAACTTAGCGAGACCCAAACGTCCGAGCGGCCCATGATGGAGCACCAAGGTCACCAGGCCATGCTGCACCATGTTGAGCAGCAGCATCTGCATCCACATCAGCCTCCAATGCATCACATGCCCAGGTATGACAGTTGCCAGATGGACCAGCACAGACCCCTTGAGAGGAACTACTCAGACATGGTCAATCTGATGAAACTGGAGGAGCAGCTCAGCCCCGCTTCAAGAGGCTACCCATCTAGCTGCGCTCAGGAAGGGGATGAGGACACTACATCAGTGGCTTCCGAACGCTCAGATGAAGCTTTCGACATGACTAAAGGCAACCTGTCCCTGCTGGAAAAGGCCATTGCTCTGGAATCCGAGCGTGCCAAGGTTATGCGAGACAGAATGGCATCAGAACAGATGGTGGCTCGGAGGGACAATCAGCGCCTTCATGGAGAGCACAGCCCAAGGCAGAGCAGCAGTGCAGAAGAACGCAAGGCCCGACTCCATCACGATGGCGCAAAAAGAGCATATTACCCTAAAGGTAAAAATAAAACTTCTAATGAGATTTTGCATTTCAGCAGAGATTTCAGTAGCTAGTTCCCTTTCATTATCAAGTTTATAGAATATGGAAGCCATATTCTGCTACTGAGGAAACGAATAAAAATTATTATTCTGGTCATTTCTCACAACTGTGTGAAATAAAGTCACAACTGTGAGATATAGACATTTTTTTCTGGTAATTGTACCTTTAAATCTCACAATATGACATTATATCTCACAATGTGGCTTCATATCTCACGATTGCGCCTTTATGTATCCTAATTGTGGCTTTATTTCTTCTAATTGTGATATTATACTTCTTGATGTGACTTTATATATTCCAGTGTGACGTTGTATTTCTTATTTTAAACATTTTCTCACAATTAACAGTTTTTATCTCACAATTGTTAGATATAAAGTCAGTATTTCCTGTTTTATTTCTTTATTCCTGGTAATTGTGACTTTAAATCTCACAATGTGACCTTACAGTATATCTCATATTTGCAACTTTATATCTCCTAATTGTGATATATCTCACAATGCGACTTCATCCCCCATTTTCACAGACAAGACTTAAACCTAGTCCCAGACTAAAATGCATATTTTAACTGTTTAAACTGAAGGCAACTTACACTGACTTATCTTAAAATATGTCTGTACCATTGTTTTGTCTCAAGATGCACATCTGTTTTTTTTTAAGGCAACTTAAAGTCCCCGTGAACCGGAAGTTACAAACGACTTTTCTCCAGTGTTGTGACACATTTCCAAGTGAAACGGAATATTGAATAGAGGGCAGGGTTTTACTTTAGCGCTCCTCCTCTCCATCTCTCGCTCATAGCAGACTAACGGAGTTGCCACGCCCTCGCGCCATAGCACATGACAGGAAGAGAAGAGAAGTCGTTTCGAGAGGGGAGGGAAGGATAACGTATTTGATTAAAGATTATAAGGGTACATTAATTTTTAAAAATTAAGGAAGGGCACAGATAAATCATTTATAATAAACACTACAATATTACATATAAGAATAGGAATTGTAAAAATTTTATTTCATGGCGACTTTAAATGTCCTAATTTAACTAAATCCTGGCTTAATCTAAGCCCTGTCTCTGGAACCAGGTTCATATCTCACAATTGCGGATTTATTTGTCCTATTTGTGATGATATCTCACAATGAAAGTTTATTTCTCATAAATGTGAGATATATTCTATTGTGAATTTTTATTTCTTTTAAACATTTTTGCACACTTTACAGATTTATTTTTTATTCTGACTGAAATCAATCGAGTATATTTGTTTCCATAAATGAGCGTATTTGCACAAACAGTGATCTTTTGAATATGAAAATAATTTTCTCATCCTGAAAGCTGTTGCAGCATTTGTTCTCCAGTGTCTTGGGTCACTTAACATTCCGTCACACACTGCGCCAATGACATTGATGACTATGGGGTCACTTTGGTGAGACAGAAACATTTTGGGGGCTTGTTTTAAACATCCAGGTCTCCCTGAGCAACTTCCATAATGACAACAGCTTATGTTGCTAAAATAGGTTGACATGGTAACATCAGAGACTTACCTTGTCAGGCATGAGTAATGGCAATTTGCATGGCCTGTTAGGAAAGCAAATCTCATCCCTTGGATTCCATACATGGTTTATTACCTCAAATCCTTCCCAATCCACACCCACTACTTTGGGAGTGAGCCATATTCTCTGATATATGCAGATATTAGCAATCAGAAACTACAGGAGCATATAACAAACAGTGGTTATGTTTTTGAGGATCCTCAGATTACCCGTAGTTACCCAACCTAACTGCTCTTCCTATCTAGTATTTCAAAAGGTTCATCATTTGTCTCTGCTCTGAAGGCACTGCTTCATATGTTTCATTACCTTCCATTTGCTCAATTTGCACTGTGTTTTCCATTGAAGATAGTGTCTCTGTGCTTCCTATTGCAGTTTGCTGTTGTTTTCAGTCCAAAGCAGCAAGTCAGAGGGTCGTGTAATTATAGAATTACACCACGATTTCACACCTCGTCTCCAAAAACTATTCTTGGCTCTAATTATTGGAGCGTCGTTATTAAACATGTTGAGTGATCTCACTGTTCTGACTGACAGGGTGCATTATTATTGCATGCTTGTGGAGTTTACTGCAGTTATTTTTGGCTAATAAAAGAGGGAAGTATATTACAAATGTGTTCTCTTAGCTAAACCGATTTGAATAACAGAGAATGCATGTATTGTATTCACAACTTTATTGATCAGCCAATGGGTGCTATGATGGTTCTCTGCTATCATTTGCTGATTTTCCCTTTTTGGTCTCATGGTAGAGACTACGCACACCGCGAACCAGAACCAGGGAAAGATGAACATATTATCTTGCCGGTTTTCACTTGAAACTTGCAAGCTAATAATGGGAAACTGTCATTAGTGGAAATGTTAACTTATTTAACAGCATGATTGTGAATTGGTCACTTGTATCATGTAATATCGATAGCACACATTAACATCTTGGATGGAGTTAAAATGCTGTGAGATGAAAACATTGAGACATTTATTTATGCGTATAATGTATATTTCCTTATATTCTGATACCTAGTACCTAGTTTATGTTTTCCTACACACTGTAAGGTGAGTGTAAAATCACCTGTTTTCTCAGTGTGCACAATTGTATATTCCATCTTTATATAACCGTTTAGGATGGTAGAGATTGTTATGATAATCACCCACACATACTGTATGTATGCATGTTGTAAGGGCTAATATATTATATTATTATTATTATATTATATTTATTATATTACATATTAGTTGCAAATACATCTAGAATTGTTAATACATTACAATTTTAAAGAGAATATATATTTTTTAAGTTATGTGTAATAATGTGGATATTTTGTCCTGCTGTACAGCTAAATTAAAATGTTAAATGTTAATTATTTTGACAGTATTGCACATAGTTTAGCAAAGTATTGCTTCATAAAAAAAAAAAAACATTCTACATATTCTAAATTCGGCTGGGAATAAATAGACTAAATTCATTGAAATGAATGATGTAACTTTGTTTTATTGTCTGACTGAAGAAATTCCTCTGTGCTGTGACAGGTGGATTTCTTTTAATTACAATCCAGTAAATTCTGTCATTCTGATTCAAATCAGGGCGGTCAATTCATAAATGTAGAATTTTTTTCGAGAACACTGGTCTCGTGCATCACTGTCCCTCCTCTCAGGCTCAGTCTCATTCAGGCTATATCCTTCCAGTGTCCAATTTCAAAGCAAACAGCAAACAGACAGTGATGTTTGAACATAGCTGTAACAGGAGCATAACTGTTATCACAAGGAATCCAGCAGGTTAATGGGATTTGCTTACTGTGCCTGTAACAGGATATGCCAATAACTGTCTTTGCTTGCAGACTCAAGGGGAGAGAAAAAAGAAAGCAAGTGTCCGACCCCGGGTTGTGATGGCACGGGCCATGTCACGGGGCTGTATCCACACCATCGAAGCTTGTCCGGCTGCCCCCACAAAGACCGCGTGCCACCAGAAAGTAAGCCGAATTTAGATGGCCGTTTGCACTTTATAAATGTTCCCATGCGTGTTTGCTTCGTGCTGTCTGTGCGCTGTGGGCATGTTTTACCTCTCTTTTCTAGCATTTCTCTAATGCATATGACTATGAGTGCATTTCCTCCTCCACCCAAAGCGGTGGCGCTCTTTCTCATACAAACAAGCTTTGCTGATGTGCTGATTGGTGATTTGTGTAATTTTAGCCTGTTTTCTCAATATGGCTGCACTGATCTCTTGGACACAAAGCAGATTTTTCATCCCTACCTTTAGTCACACCTCTAATTGGATGAGGATCATGTCACAGGCGGGTTCTGATGAGTCAGTTTACTGCAGGCCCAGAGACGTAGAGCTGCAGGATGTGTCATAGACAACCTAATGGCTAGACTCATTCAGTTCACCAAAAATAAATCCGTTATTTTTGAAGAGAGATTTATTTTCCTCTAATGCCAATGCTTTCACACAACGTGCATGCCATTAACACATTGCATGCCTAGAATCTTCTTTCACCATATGGTGATTAACTTTATGATTAACTGATTTCAGCTGGAACGTTTCTTAGAAGCATGTGCATGCTGTTGTCACTGAGCCCGTTCAGCTTAATGGAACACAAGGCTTTCATACTCACTCTGGATCCTCCTAACCTTCTCTCGCCCTCTCCTCTCTGTTTGTCCAAGTTCTTGCTATGTATGAGAATGTTCTAAAGTGCCCCACGCCTGGCTGCTCGGGACGCGGCCATGTAAATAGCAACAGGAACTCCCACCGCAGGTGAGTGTCTGGAAGGGACGTGGAGAGAAGAAACTGGCGGCACTGTGGGGACTGATGTTCCAGTCTTTTTTACACATTTTATACAGGGAATTTGAAGAATACATGGATTTAGATGGAGCCTTGCTTTCAGGAAGGAAAAGAGGGACTGACTTTGTGTTATACTGAGCTTGACTGGATGATAGAACCGCATAGCTCCAGGCTCAAATATTTTATTTGCACATTGGCAATTTTGACTGGAGATTCAGGATTAAATTCCCACCTGGAAGGAGGGGCATGGTGAACTTGTGAAACCTACAAAAAAGCCTCTACAATTAATAAAATAAGAAGCTGTTTGTTACAAGATGAAACAGAATTTAGCATCACATTTTGACTGCTTCTACTGCTCTCTTCATTTGTAAGTCGCTTTGGATAAAAGCGTCTGCTAAATGATTAAATGTAAATTTGAATGCCTCTAAAAATTTATAAAATAAATAATTTATTATATATATATATATATATATATAATTCTAAATAATATTTTTGTTTAATATTCATTTTAATTCTATGTAATTGATAAGGTATATAATTCTAATATAGAAATATTATATAATTGAATTTTTTTGTTTTGTTATAAAACTGTAATGTTGTAATGGTTTTTACAATTACAAGATGAAACAGAGAATATGGCCTTTCCAAATCTGAATTTTCTTAAGAATGAGAGCTCCACACACACATACAGTACAACACTTATGCAGTTAAGATGTGCCTCCATGTGCACATGGTGTACATTCAGACAGATGCAGTCTCCACCCGAAGTCGCTGCAGGCCATGTTATATGGAACAGCTCCTATGGGACACACACACACACACACACATTATTAGAAGGGTTGAGCTGAAGAAAACAATGTATAATAGGGGAATATAACAACCTTGTACATTTATATATGGTTTGTCTACACATTCCTCGTTGCATGGTTGTCATGGCAACTCAGCATAGTGACAGCAGTCACCACTAACTCACTTTTTTTCCCCTTAAAATTCCATTCATGTAAATGCACAAGTACCCTGTGCTTAAGCTTTATGTGTTTCTGAAATTGCAGAGCGTGTGGTTTTTTTTCTGTTTGTCTCATTTGTTTATTTTTTATATTTTGAGAGTGACTGAATGGTTTCCGTATAACCCGAAGACAATAAGAAAATTGCAGACGATAAGAAGACAGTTTCCAACCATACAAAGGATTACAGAGAGAGAGAGATGACTGAAAAGTGGGAGAAAAAACAAACAGAGGGAGATAGAGAGAGGAAGAAACAACAAGGGAGAAAGAGTGCGAGTGAGAAAGGAGAAAAAAGGAGAGCAAGGGAGCGTAGCTGGATGTTCTAAAGCTCAGTTTGCTGTAGTGTGTCTCTCTGAAATGACTGCGGTATCTCGCTGTGAGGAGCTTTCTGAAGCCAGCCAGCCAGAAATGCCCAGCAGATATCTGCAAAGCTTTGCTTTCATACTATAGAACTAGGCCACATGAAATGCATAATTCATACATAAATATCCCCATGTACCACACACACGCATACCAGGATTTTGCAAACACGTTGGAAGTCCGTATTCAGAGAATGTCATAAAAAGCGGACTATTCTCTCTGACAGACTCGTCTCCATATGCTGGTATTATACATTCCCTCATATCTCACTTTGTTCTTCAACTTCTGCTATCTGCTAGGCCAGGGCGTGTGTGTGCGTTTGAAAGTGTGTGTGTGTGTGTGTGTGCGCCCTTACATGCTGCTCGTAACGTAATGTTAACACTACATAAATTGCTCTGCTGCTGTTGCAGTCTCTCGGGATGCCCCATAGCCGCCGCTGAGAAGATGGCAAAGGTTCAGGAGAAACATCTCCCCTGCGAGAGCTCCAAGTCCAACCAGGCATCAGACCGAGTCTTGAGGTACTGCGTGACCCTCCGTGACATATGTTTAATAAAGATATAATGCAATAAGTCTGGCTTTGACTTGTTGTTGGAATGGTACATTAAATCAATTCACATTTAACTGTATTTGTAGTAGAGCTTTCTGTTCCAGATTCCAGAGTACAAAACAAACTTTAAAAACAATATTATTTATTTATTTATTTATTCTTATCCTCTTCCTTTGAAAATATATCTATCTATCTGTCTATCTATCTATCTATCTGTCTGTCTATCTATCTTATCATTTTTAAATCCTAAAATAATTGGAAAAAAATGAAACTATAAACTAAATATATGAAAATGAAACTATAAATTAAATAATTTAAATAAATATTTTTGAAAAACCAAATGGGGGGAACAATCCATTTAAGATGAATCTTTTAATACAATGTTAATACAATTAATACAAAACAGGTTGCAAGCGGTAATTCATGTTGACTTTAAGTACAGTATGCCCAGGCCTATGATACCCAACCTTGATTCCCTGTCTTTTTACTTGTTTCAGGCCCATGTGCTTCGTGAAACAGCTGGAGATCCCACAGTATGGGTACAAAAATAACGTCCCAACCAGCACTCCACGATCCAACCTGGCCAAGGAGCTGGAGAAGTACTCCAAGGCCAGCTTCGACTACAGCAGCAGTTATGACAACCAACCTCATGCATACGGCAAGAGGTCCCTCACCCCAAAGAGCCATGGGCGGGACACCTCCCCCAAAGGATATGATGGCAAGCTTGTCTTTATTCTTTCCTCTGTCAATGAAGTTGGCAAGGTAGCAAGAGTCAGAATTGATAAACTGGCCTTTCTCTAGGGGATCAGATTGAAATAAGATTAGAGTTAGTTGTGTACTGCCTGACATACTTGTGGTATTTTCCATTAAAAAAAGATTACTTTCTGTATTCTATTTTGAAGTAAAGGCCTTCTCTTCTCTTAATAAACGCATTAGTTTGGATTTTTTTTACAAGCATTCGTCGAGTTCAGTGCTCCTTTATTGGAAATCCTACTTTACTTATTGGCTTCTGAAATGATTAATAACCTAGGTACACAAACCCAGTGAAGAGATTTCCAATTTGCATGCAGATCCTTTAATAGAATTATGTCTGGATGGATATTTTTGACCTCCAAATGCATGTCTGTGAAGAATGTAAAAATAAATGTTAATATCATTTCTCATTTTTCATGATATTCTATATATGCATACTGTATTAATGCATATTGATATTGAAGGCCATTATGTAACCTTTTTGCATGATGCCTAATGTCTGGGTGTAGGTTTTTAGTTTCCTCAAACATTTTGTTTCTCTGTCTTTGGTTCAAGCTTCATTTTTGAAAAGTTTTGTTTGGTTTTGTTTGGTAATGTTCAGCGTAACGTAGCTCTCAACTGCAGCCCTGGTCTTGATAAATGAGTGCACTTACACTTGTGAAAGAATCAAATTAACTGGAACGATTTTGTTCAAAATGGTAGCAGTTGATTTCACGCCCAAGCCAGAAATTGTAGAGATTTCCTGTCAACAGAATTCGGCTGGATATTTTGGTACGGTTTCATTAGCTGTGCTTAAAATAACTCATTTTCATTATAACTCATGGTTATTACATCAGGACAGTCTTGATTGCCCATACGGAGCATTACAGCATGCCCTGCAGTGATAATATAGACAATGTTATTGAAATCAGAACACCACATCTCTGAAATTAAAGAGCATTCTTGCAAGTGATGTTACTTGCATGCTTTATCTTAGAAATTCTGTTTTTGATAAATGAGACAAATGAAGAAAATTAAACCTTGGGAGAAAAAAAAATGAGAATAACATTCAATTAATGTTAGGAATTAACGACACTTCATTTAGACTCAGTTGGCAACATCAATTAGTTACACCCAGTTTAGTTGTAATGGCAGCATTGCTATTTGTCTCGATGCAAAATGAGATGAAGAATAGGATCAAATGGGAGAGAAGTATACATCTTGAATAAGTGATTACAACTGCATTTTAGCAGCTGATTTGTCAGCTTCCGGTATTTGAGGATACTCGGTTCCTTAATCAGTAACTGATTTTTGTCTGGATGCAGACCAGAGTTTGTCTATGAATGTGGATTTGTATAAAAAAGAAATGCTGTTTAAATGCTTTCCGTGCAGGTCTTAGATTTCATGTTAACAATGTGTAGCCCTCTGCATGAAACCTAGATACACTGTCAAACCATTTCTCCTCCTCTCCTCTCTCTCTCTCTCTCTCTCTCTCTCTCTCTCTCTCTCTCTCTCTCTCTCTCTCTCTCTCTCTCTCTCTCTCTCACACTCAATTTCTCACAGCATTCATCATGAAACATCAGCTCATCTAATAAGCCTATGTGTGTGTACGTGTGTATCTGTCTATCTGACATCTTTTTGTCTGGCTATCTATCTGTCTGTCTATCTGTCTGTTAATCTATCTATCTATCTCTCATTCTAGTATGCCATCTCTCTCTCTCTCTCTATCATTCTATCCATCTGTCTATCTGACTATCGGTCTGTCTATCTATCTCTCATTCTAGTATTCCTTTCTCTCTCTCTCTCTCTCTCTCTCTCTCTCTCTCTCTCTCTCTCTCTCTCTCTCTCTCTCTCTCTCTCTCTCTCTCTCTCTCTCTCTCTCTCTCTCTCTCTCTATCTATCTGTCTATTGCTCCATATCCATCCATCCCGTCTGACCTGGTATATGTGTGTGTGTGCAGCCAAGCGCTACTGTAAGACCTCCAGCCCGGCCAGCAGCACCACGAGCAGCTACGCTCCCAGCAGCAGCAGCAGTCTGAGCTGTGGAGGAGGGGGAGGAGGAGGAGGAGGAGGGGGAGGAGGAGGAAGCAGCGCCAGCAGCACCTGCAGCAAGAGCAGCTTCGACTACACACACGACATGGAAGCCGCCCACATGGCTGCCACCGCCATCCTCAACCTGTCCACGCGCTGCAGAGAGATGCCCCAGAGCCTCACTGGGAAAGGCCCGGAGCTCCTGGCACAGGTGAGGATCGACAACTTTTTCCTGCCAGTTCCTCTCTCTAATGCTCACCCACTTGTACTGCTAATACATCTTTCTTTCTCTCACTGGGTATTTCTTAGTTTCTCTGCACTGCCTTCCTGTATGACTGTGCTTTGTGCCGGTAAAGCCAGGTAGTGCGGCGAAATGAGGGCATGCCCATTTAGCGTCATTCTGGGCAAACCCCTGTTCCTCTCTTCCGAGCTACCGAGCTCATTTGCACAGGGTGTGATTTAATACATTGAATGACAGCAGCACCTCTGTAAGCTCCTGCGGGTCCTCTCTGCTACAGTCAGGGTCATCATATGAGCCTAATGGTCTGAGCGAGCCATGATTGCTTTAGTGACGCATCGATTTCAGACATAATCTGTATGGTGATAAAGAGAGCGAGGGGATGGAGAGGACCAGAGGAAGCTGGCAGCTGCAGGAACGCTGGAGTAGTGGTGCCCATACCCTTTCTCACAGAGGCAAGTAGAATTAATGTCGATTTCAGCTGTGGTCCAGGCCAAGCCAGCTCTCCCAGCATCCCTCTGGGTACATAGGAAAGACAATGACCTCTCTTTAAGGACAGTGAGGCAGCAGGCTGGAGGGAGAGGGGATGAAAATGAAAGAGAGAGAGAGAGAGAGAGAGAGAAAGAGGGACAGAGGTAGTGAGCTGCAGGGCTCTATATATTCACTAATAAGCAGCTGTACATGGAGATGTAGGGCAGCGCAAAGAAGATGCTCGCACTCTCTTCTTTCATATCTTTTTTCCTCCAATCCTTTCCCACACTGTAAAAAATGGTGGTTGTAGAATTGATAAAAAATGAAGAAAAATGAAGGCTACTGTTTCAACGTTTGTTTGTTTTTCAGTTAAATTCATCTACTTTAAAATTGTCAAAATCTACCATCATTGTAAATCTAGAAAGACTTTTTTTTTCATGTCATTTCATCCTGTTTTCAATGTGTAATGCACTGTACAATAATAGTTTGAGGTCGGTGAAACTTATCAATGTTTTTAAAAGAAGTCTCTAATGCTCACATGCATTTAAATGATCAAAAATAAAGTAAAAACAGTAATATTGAGAAATATCATTACAATTTAAAATAGTTTTTTTAATTAGTTTAATTAGCTGAATTTTCAGTCTCCAGTGTCACATTAGCCTTCAGAAGTCATTCTAATATGATGATTTGCTGTTCAAGAAACTTTTTTTTATTATCAATTTTGAAAACGGTTGTGCTGCTTAATATTGTTGTGGAAATAAATTTTTTTCAGGATTCTTTGATGAATATAAAGTTTAAAAAGAACATAGTTTATTTTAAATATACTTTTTTGTAACATTATAAATATCTTTGTCACTTTTGATCAATTTAATGTATTTTTTTTTATCATACTGAACCTTACGTTTTGAACGGTAGTGTACATACAGAACAAAGTGTTTGTTGTCTCATAATACAGACCTTAAGACTTGACAATAAAACATGACAAGGCTAGCTAACAACTAACTAATCATTTTAAGGAGAGGTACAAACACAGCTTGACATCAACACAAAATCAGCTACAACAGTGTAAATAAAACTGGCAAATGGTCAAACAATGCAACCATATTAATTATTCATCCCCAATGCAGGGAAGGGGGAGGAAGCGAGAAACTTGTGAATATTTAAACACACAATAAAAGCTACATTTGTTGGTTCAACTAAGTATATTATAACAGAAAATCTCCTTCGAGATCCTTTGCTTGTGTTCCTGTAAGTTGTTTAACAACTGTTTCAAGTCGGCATAAAACATTCGTCTTTTCTTCCCTGTTGTGATGTATATCTGAGTGAAATGGCTTCTCGAACGAGAAAAATAACGTGGATGACTTAAAAAAAATGTTTTACTAATAAATCATTTTAAATGATTTCTATGATTTTTATGATTTCATAAGTAAACTAAAAACAATAAAATACAATTTTCAAACAATGTTTATTTTGACAAATAATCATTAAAATATTAATAATAAATAGAAATATTTGTTTTACTTGATGAAAGAATCAATTTAACAGTGTGTATAAACCATGTTCCCATCCTCATCTGTCATTCTTCCCTTCCATATCTTACTCTGCTTCTTTCTCATAATTTTACCTCTTAATAATTCCCTTTACTCTTTATTCTCTTATCAATCCTCCTCCTCCTCCCTCTTCTCTTTTTCATGGCAGAGCCCTGATGACAGAGATGGGGATGAAAACGGAACCCTGGATCTGAGCCGGGCTGGAGGGATGGGGGAGGGCAGTGGGGGTACAGTGCTGACCCCCCTGCAGCCCATGTCGCCCCAGCGGCAGGCCTTGCTCAACAGCCACTGCTACCAGATGAGCACAGCAGAGTGCTGGGACCTGCCTGTGGACTACACCAAGATCAAACGCCTGGACGAGGACCACAAGGAGGTACTGTGCCCCCGGACGGCCCTTGGGTCTTGCTGGAGACGGACCGCAACACTCACTTTAGATCATTGTCAGCAGCACTTTTTTGCCCACTGTCTTTGTTGCACTGTAGAATGTGATCAGTATTTAAATAGATCAATATCTGAGAGTTTGGCAGTAGCAATTACCAATTTGTATTATTAAATAGAAGATAATACAAATGTGAATAAATAATAAGAAGTTTTTTTTTTTTTTGCTTGATTGTGTAATATAGTGTAAATATACTATGGAACTAACTAAACATTATTGTGTGTTTGCGTATCCCGAGACAGCAACGTTGACTTAACCAATGGCGTAAGCTTAGGGTGGAGCTACAGTATCTGTTTCTCTAACCAATAGCTGATGAGGAAGAGTGTTCAGGAAACCTGTTTGAAAGCAATCATTATTTGTATACCTACATCCTAGGTGTATATGACTTTCTTCTTTCAGCCGAACACAATCGGAGTTATATTAAATACAGTAATATCCAGGCTTTTCCCAGCTTTGTAATGGCATTGAATTGTGCCTGAGTTTTTGAAGCTCCAAAAAGTGCATCCATCCGTCATAACAATAATCCATACGACTCCAGGGGGTTAATAAATGCCTTCTGGAGCGACGCAATGGGTTTTTGTAAGAAAAATATCCAGCTCTAAAACTTTATAATCACGGGCTTCTGTGAAGGTCTGTGCTCACGATCATGACAGAGTCAATTTCCGGCGGAAGAGTGACCTCTGACCCGACGTATGATGAAGGACGTAGCTCCTCTTTTATTAAAATCCTCTGACATTTTTATTTTAGACTTCTAATTCGTGACCTGTGTTTTGTTTTGCCCTATCCTCTGTGCTTCCGCGTTCTTCATTTCTCACCGCAGCTTACGCTACGTCTGCGTCATGTGTCGGGTCACACCGGAACTCCTCTCTCGTGGATGCACGTTGCCGGAAGCCAGTGATTATAGTTTATAAAGTTTTAAATATGTTAAAAGTAATAATATTTTAAAAAATATTTTCTTACAAAAACCCTTTGCGTTGCTCCGGAAGGCATTTATTAACCCACTGGAGTCGTATGGATTATTGTTATGATGGATGGATGCACTTTTTGGAGCTTCGAAAATTCTGGCACAATTCAATGGCATTACAAAGCTGGGAAGAGCCTGGATATTATTTAATATAACTCCGATTGTGTTCTGCTGAAAGAAGAAAGTCATATACACCTAGGATGGCTTGAGGGTGAGTAAATTATGGGATAATTTTCATTTTTGGGTGAACTATTACTTTAAGAAAGCTGTATTTCCTTCTATTGTAGTGATTTGAAGGATGGTAGGACCGTAAGGACATCTAGTGTACAGTACTGGTACTGCATGCCTTGAAATAGGAATTGGAATTATTATTATTTCAAAAAGGATCTGATGTTTTTGCTAAATTGTTGGGGAATTTGAATTTATGTAAAATTGGCTGTATGAGAGTGTCATTTTTTTTTTTTTTTGCAGTGTTTTTTATATATGTAAACTGCACCGTATATTGTGAAATTACTATCAGGCCACTGTACTATTCTTCCTTCTTAATCTGCATCATAACACGCATTGAAATCTCTCTTTTTCTTTCTCTATCCTCATTTTCAGGATGACCTGGACCCCTTTCAGGATCTATTAGAAGAGCAGCAGTATTCAGGAGACGTGTCCCTCCCCAGCCCCAAACACAAATTTGCTCCCTGCAAGGAGAGCAAGAAGGAGCTCCTCACGTAAGCATAACATCTGCACTGGATAAGGACTATTCCCTGTTGTTTACATGTGATGCTGTAGCATGATTTTTAATATAATATTTAGTGTGTCCATTGTACACTACCGATGTTTTTTTTAAAGAATTTGATACTTTTAAATCAGCTAGGATGGATTAAATGCATGAAAACTAAACTAAAGATTTCTATTTCAAATAAATGCTGAAAAAAACATTCCACAAAAATATTCAGCAGCACAACTGTTTTCAACATTGATAATAATACAACATGTTTCTTAAAGCACCAAATAAGCATATTAGAAGGATTTCTGAAGGATCATGTGACACCAAAGATTGGAATAATTATGGTGAAAAATTCAGCTTTGCCATCACAGGAATACATTACATTTAAAAAAATGTTTAAAAAGAAAACAATTATTTTAAATTGTAATAATATTTCACAATATTACTTCACAATTTTACTGTATTTTTGATCAATTAAATGCAGCCTTGGTGAGGCTTAAACTTTTTCCAAAAATCTTGCAGACTCCAGACTTTTAAACTATAGTGTCTACAACCTAAAACAACTGGTGTCATTATGACTTCTAAAAGTGATATTATGATGTCTCAATGTCAGTTTTATTACATCTCTCATCGGCCTTCTCTATTTTAACAGTTTGACTTAATTACATCCTGACTGTTAAAGTTGTTTCAAAAATGTTTTTTATATAAATTTTTTTAAATGAAATGTATTTTTTTTATATAAAATTATTATTACAATTATTTTCCAAGTTAAATGTGTACTCAGTATTGTATTTATATTGTGCTGGCCATCATATCAATCATCTTCTGACTTACTAACACCTAGTGTCGTGGAAACAGCATCAAGTATAAGCAAAATCGTTTATTTAGCCATTTGTAAAAAAGAAAAAAGAAAACTAATAATAATATATATACTATTCGTAGTCAGTGATCATAATTTATTCAAGATCAATTTAGTAGTGGTCAGCTGGTCATGTGACCTCAGCATTCATGTAAAATAAAACAGTTTTTATTAGGCTTAGATATTTTTTACATATTTTTTCCAAAGTACAGTTCATTTATTTGAATGTAAAACTTTTTGATGATAAATTTGACCCTGAGTGCACGTTAGTAGCAGCTGTGCAAGTATACCATGTCTCATACCAAATCCTCTCTCAAGGCTATCAAGCTGCCAACTGGCTGACAAGGGCATGCGTGGTATCATGACATCTAACTCCCAGGATCTGAAGTAAGCCCTCATGCTCTCGTGTTTACACGCCACCTCAATTGACCTTCAAAAATGAGGTCTATCTGAGGTTACACTAATCTTTTTCATATTTTCATTGCTTGCAGGTGTCCTACTCCTGGCTGTGATGGCTCTGGGCATATCACAGGGAACTATGCCTCACATAGAAGGTGAAGGCTCACAGATATGCACATTAAAAATTGATTTGACCACCAGTGGATTAAAAAAAAAATGTTTTTCTTGCTCTGAAGTCTGTCAGGTTGTCCCCGGGCAAAGAAGAGTGGTATTAAAATAATGCACAGTAAGGAGGACAAGGATGACCAGGAGCCAATCAGGTGCATTTTTTTTAAATTCCCTCATCTGTTCAAAGTAACTCAAAGTTGAATGTTACTTGCAGTAATTTATAGTTGTAAAGTTGAATTCGACCAATCGCTCTTCTTGCTTTTGTGTGTCTGTGTGTGTGAACTCGTCCCTGCTGTGCCCGATGTCTGTAGGTGTCCTGTGCCAGGCTGTGATGGCCAGGGTCATGTGACTGGGAAGTATGCATCCCACCGCAGTGCATCCGGCTGCCCGCTGGCCGCCAAGCGTCAGAAAGACGGTTATGTGAACGGAGCGCCTTTCTCCTGGAAGTCTGGCAAGACAGACGGCATGACCTGCCCCACCCCAGGCTGCGATGGCTCTGGCCACGTCAGTGGCAGCTTCCTCACCCACCGGAGGTACACCAGTGTGGGATTGTTTCTCAACAAGGCCATCATATAGCAAGAAATCATTTCCTTAATCAGTATTTTTGCATTGTTTTTCAATAAAAATATCTAAACTTCCTTAACTATTCAAATTGCTTTCGATAATTGAAATAAAGCTGAAATAAAATCAAATATAAATATAAGATGAACTAAATTAAAATAAATTAAATCTAAATAGAATTTTTTACTAATAAAAATTACAAACAAAATGACTAAAACAAAAAAAAACAGTATGATTTGAAAACTTAAAATGAAAAATGAAAATATGAACAATAAAAGCTAATATTAAATATATTACTATAATAGTATATAAATAGTACTAAAATAACAATGATATTAAGACAATTAATGTTTGTTTTTCTTAATACCACATTGACATTCTTTTTTCTTATTTTTATTATAAATAATAAAAAAGTTTTTTTAAGTTTAAGGGATTTTGTATGTTTATGCTTAAAACAAGAAAAAAAAATTGCCAGTGGTTTAAGAAAAATGCTGTTAATTTAAGATATATTCACTAAAAACATATTCATTTCATAATTATAATATAATAATTTGTATAAGTAAATTCATCTTGTTTATCTCGTTTTAAAAATTGCTAGTGGTTTAAGAAAAATACAGTTAATTTATGATATATTCACTAAAAACATATCAATTTCATATTATCGTACAATAATGTTTAGATAAAGACAAGACAAAGATGTGGCAGTAAATGTATGTGAATCAGTTAATGTTTTTCTTAAACATATTAACTAATGTAAATATTTAAATATTTCTTTAAAATAATTTGAACATTTTTTCATCATAGTGTTTAATCTTTCTCATGTTTTATTTGTATGTCTGTAGTCTGTCTGGCTGTCCCCGTGCCACATCTGCTATGAAGAAAGCTAGGATGACAGGGGTTGAAATGCTCACAATCAAGCAGAGAGCAAGTAAAGGTACATCATTTTTCTTTTATTATAAAATGAATAATGGAATTCAATTAATTTTACTCGCCATCAATGGCATTTTTAACAGTGAATGTCTCCATGTTCCCTTCTAGGCATAGAAAATGATGAAGAGATAAAACAACTGGATGAGGAAATCAAAGACCTGAACGAATCAAACAATCAAGTAGAGTCAGACATGATCAAATTAAGAACTCAAGTAAGAACATTTGCCATCTCTCAAATCGGGCATTGGCCATGTGTTCAGTCACAGAGATGCCTTTGTCTCTCTTTCTCTCTCCTGCCAGATCACCACCATGGAGACTAACCTGAAGTCCATCGAGGAGGAAAACAAGGTTATAGAGCAGCAGAATGACTCGCTGCTGCATGAGCTCGCCAACCTCAGCCAGTCCCTCATCAACAGTCTCGCTAACATCCAGCTCCCTCATATGGTAAGAGCCAACGGACATGTGTCCTCAACTAGGGGTAAGAAAATATCAGTGATCAAGGGACTACAAAGTCAGTCAGGATTCAAATGTTTGATAATTATTCACAGGAAGGAAGTCCTGTGAATCTGAATAAATTATTAAAGTTTGTTCATGTATGACCTACAATAAATGTTTATCTGCATAGAATAGTCTTTTAGATCATATAGACTGCCTCTTGTTGAAAGCCAGGGCCTGAGTCTGCATATCAGACGCTACCAGTAGGGACGAAATTCCGGTTTCTATTGTTTCTCCCATCTGCTTCTTTATGTCTGTTGTTGAGTTCCTCGCAGTTCCATATGCTTCTGTGCTGAGGTCACTCCCCTTTACTGACCATTGTAGAAAAACAACCTCCACTCCAACGACTGCTTTTCAGTTGAGTAACAACATGGCCGCTGTGGATCAGATGGTCCAACATGATGGAATCACAGAGCCTTCATATACACATTGAGACGGGGTGCGATTGGAAAAGCCTTGTTCAAATGTGGCAGCCATGTTAGTAAACAACTGAAACACGTCTTCTTGAATATGGCTCCTGAATTCTCCACCCCCACGGTTGATGGATGCTATTTAGAGTGTGCACGAGGGGTCCTCAAGCTGCACTAACATCAGACGACTGTTGCCTATTCATGTGTCATGCCGCTCAACCAAAACTTGCACTGCAAAAAATAGTGTTCTTCCTAAGCATTTTTGTCTTTTCTAGTACAAATATCTAAACTTTCTTAAATCAAGCTACATTTACTTGTGAAGCAATTAAGGGACAGATTTACCAAATGGGGCAAATTAGCGTGAGAGCGCAATTCCAAAAGAGTGCCGAAGTTCTGCGCATGATCTACTGATGACACGCAAACTAAAGAACACAGACGCAGCCTGATCATTTCCAGAATGACCAACGCAATACCAAGAGCAGGCCAAATTAGCATCTGGTTTAAGACATGCTTTTTTTGGGCGGTAAATAATGGCTCAAATACCAGTCAATTGACTAGCGTAAACCTTAGTAAATCACCTTGCATGATTCATTTAAATACTCTCCTCCCATAAATTTTGCGTCTGAAAAGGAAACTCCTACAAATGTATATGTAATAAGGTCAGCCGCAAAAATAACCCTGTCCACGCCTTTTCAGCGCAAATTTTTTACTGCGTGTCTTTAGTAAATCCTGACAGTAGTTTTTTAACGGCAAAAGAGTAATAAAAAAAAATCTGCCAATGGGGTCAGAAAATTAGTCTTGTTTCCCCTTTGAATTAAAGGGTTAGTTCACCCAAAATTAAAAAAAAAATGTCATGAGTCACTCACCCTCATGTCGTTTATCTTCGAAACACAAATGAAGATCTTTTAAATGAAATCTGGGAGATTTCTGTCCCTCCATTGACAGCTACGCAACTACCACTTTGTCGCTTCAAAAAGTTCATAAAAAGATCGTAAAACTAATTCATACGAATTTAGTTCATATAAACATTGATCAGCGAACATAAACAGAAGCTCAACCGCACGTGCTTGACGCACGAGAACAAACCTCTTATAGCTCAAATGTGCTGCGTAACACAGGAGAATGAACCTCGTTGGTTCTTGCAAGTCAAGCGAACATGCTTGAGCTTCTGTTTATCATAACTGATGTGTGCGTTGATGAACGTTTATATGTAAGAAAATTTGGACTGCTCAATTCATATGGTTATTTTTACGATCTCTTTATAAAAATGTTAAAAGCATATAAGTGGTAGTTGCATGGACTTTCAGTGGAGGGATAGAAGTCTCTCAGATTTCAGGATTAAAATATCTTCATTTGTGTTTCGAAGATGCATGAAAGTCTTGCGGGTTTGGAACAACATAAGGGTGAGTAAATGATGACAGAATATTTATTAATAAGTTTGTTTTTCTCACCCCATTGGCAGATATTTTGCCTTTATTTTATGCTTAAATTTTGATCTTTTTTTTTGTTTGGAAAACATTTAGCTTCTTAAGTAAATGTATTTTTAGATATTTGTACTGGAAAACAAGACAAAAAAGCTGAGGAATGGCAAATGTTTTGCGTTGTGGTGTTCTGTACTTCCACATGTAAAGTCAAGTATGTCAGTTTTATTGAGACCACTGACCTCTGGCTTTTAGCCTGGCTAATAGTCTTTTCTCTACACCTCTCCCTTCTGTAGAAACCGGTGCCACTGAAAGAGGCCCCTGTTAAAAATTACTGCTGTTTACAGATGCCCCACAGAGTAAGAGATTCATTTTCCATAGTCTAACTTTATCCTTCTCCTCACTATCATTTTCCTCCCCCCTAGTCCTCCCCCTTTTTGTAGGACACACTACGATGTGTATGGTAATATCATGTATGGACCTTCATGATGCAAAGTGTATCGGTGCCACACATATTGACCACTTCAGGGTATAGCGATAAGAAAGCTGGGGTTGCAATATGAGCCATATTTATTTTTTTGGTAGTAAACTCATGTAAAACACATTATTTTATCAGGCACAGTGATGCTCATTGATATCTGTCTGCTACTCATGGCGATCTGTTTAATATCACTCGTGAATGCCAGTATTACTTACATACTCATGAGCATGAATCTCACACCAGTGCATGCATACATAATGTATGTGCATTACCGTAATTCTTTTGTTATCCATCAGATATATCCTTTTTTAGAAGCATTGCAGTAGTTCTACATTTGATTCTGACCAACAAACAGTGACCATTTTAATGTGACTGGTCAAGCCCTGCATTTCCAGAGATGTATTTTCTATAAAACCCTAGCTGATATTTAGTTTTAAAGGCAGCGTTGTGGGTTCATTCCTCCCTAAAATATCCTCTTTTCCTTCCCTTTCTGTCTTAATTGTGTGTTTGATTGAACATTTTATGATTGATTTTGTTTTCAACCTCCAATGATCCCGATCTGTTCCGCAGGAGCCGATGAACGAGCAAAACTTTGACACTTATGTGAGCACTTTGACAGATATGTATACTCACCAGGACCAGTACCAGAGTCCGGAGAACAAGGCCCTTTTGGAGAACATAAAGCAAGCGGTTCAAGGCATCCAAGTGTAGCTTTGCGATTGGCTATTGGCCGAGTCACCGAGGGTCATGTGATAAGAGCGTTAAGAAACAAAAGAAACCCATTATGTAAAAAAATATGGATAACTAGTATGATTTTTTTGCTGCTGTAATTTATTGTATTATTTGGCATTATTTATTATTCTGTTATGCTTTTGACAAAAAAAATACATAACTTATTTGTTGCCTTGCTTTAAGACGACGACGACGACGACGACGGCAAATGTTTTGAGGAACATTCATGTTTTGTACATTTTTCATATGACCTGACATAATGTGATGTACTGTTTATAGCTGCTAATGTATGCACATTTTATAGTGTATATGTATTTATTAATTGTAAACAAAAACCATCCATTATTTTAAATCTAAAGAGGTGCAGAGGGGATACACTGAGGGAATGTAAGGGCAATCAGCTTTGATCTGAGCTTCTCTTTACGGGACTAATGGGAACAAATGTGCTGTGCAGGCTGTTCAATGGGTGTACAGTGGTACATTTTTGTGGTTCGATTTTGGGTACATTTTGTAACGATATTGAGAAACGTCTTTTGGTTTCGGAATCATATTTATAGTGGTCAGTGTGGGCACTCTAATGCAGTATGTGTATTTTTTAATTTTTTGCTTGTTTTAGGTTTTTTTTCTTCGTTTTAATTCCCAAAATAGATGGAAAAATAGAAAAAAAAACTTGTGAAAGCAAACATCATGACACGGAAACTCACTGGTGTAAATCCCAAGAAATATTTCATAACTTCTCAAATATTTTCAAAGTCTGTTCTCTAAATGTAACGCCCGGCTGCTTGAGGCCAATAACTACAGAAAATTTCAAGGAGACAATCCAACATTAATTATTAATTTAATGATCGTAAAATGTTAGTGGTAGTATGATAGGATATCAGCAATATATGACAACGAATCAATCATTTATTTAGATATGGGATGCAAAAGTTTGGGTATATGCAATTTCTTATTCTTACCATAGTAGAAAGCTGATGAATCTTTTTACTAAATGTAAAGTATTAAGTTTTATATAAATCTTTTAATACAGTCATGTTTTAAGGTTTGAACATGGGTGATCAAGTCCAAACGGATGAATGCATTATGATTTAACATTTCTCATGTTCGATTTTGCACAGGGACACCTTTGTTTCCATGTTTTGGTGTTTTTATTTGTTTCAGGAGACCAAGGAGGTGCCCAGACGTTTGAATTGTGGGAAGTTTTTTTGTTTTGTTTAGTTTTTTCTTTGAAGGAAGTAAATCAGTGTATGAATGTTAGTTTACCAGTGTGCTGGATATACAGGGTTAATGTCACCATCCATACGTCATTGTGTCATAGTAATGGAGCACTTGTCTTGTAGATTTTGTCCAAGCAATCATGTAGAGAATCATCTGGTCACGAGTGCACAACAAATACAACTATATCAGCAATGCAAACAATTAATGAACTCCAATCAGTTATACACAGTATTAAGAGAGGTCAGCTTGCCTTCTGTGGTTACCTGCGATTCACTTTCATTGATTCTTTCTTTTTTTTTACGTTCATGAGAAATCAGCGGCACTTTAAGCTCTACGAATCAAGGAAATTGAAGCAGGATGCTTTTAATTTTTTGATAAATAAACGATGAAGCGACGTGGCGCGTGTCTAGATTACGGTAGCGTGTGAGAGTTGTTTACTGACACGACCGGTTCATATTACTCTATCATATGTACAGTTATAGTATGGGAACCCCACGTTCGTCTTCATTTAGTCAAAGCCCATTGAAAGCATCAAGCAAAGCCAGAAATGGGGATGATTTTCAGTGGTGGATTTTAAAGTTATTTGTATTTATCGAGCATGAGTCAAAGCTGTCACAGTGATTTTTAGTGTGAAATGACTCTGGTTGATGCTGAACGTCTACGTGGGACTTTGTTTCGGAAAATCTATTATTTTCTATTAGTAAGACTAGCATTGTGTTTTCCGAGAGCTCATGCAAAAGGTGCTAGTCACTCTTATTTATCATTCTGTAATTTCCAGACATCTCCCCAACCACAGCACATTTCTCTCTCCGAAAGCGGTGTGTATGCAGCTAATTTCCAAGATAGTAATGCTTTTAACACACTGATAGCAAAATACAATATCCTCTCATCCACTATCATAACTGATTTGACAGGAAAGGGGATTTTAAGCACAATTCCGCTGCTCATTTTCAGTTGGCACATATTGTACTATCTACTTCAAAAGGTTATCTGTGACTATTTAAATAGAAACTATCTATGGTGTCACATGCTTGAATGCAGAATACTTTTCTTATTAATAATTGTGAAATCATCAGGTTACAAGTTTCCATTTCAAATGGATTTTAATTAACCATTTTAAACCAGGATTTTTCTATTAAAAAATAAAGAAGCATAGCTTTCTTAATGTCTCTTGCTCTCTTCCTCTATCCAGCTCTTTAGCTATCTTTTTCTCTCTTATTTTAATTTCCAACCACATGGCATGATTTCTGTTGGTATGATACCTTTTTTGCTCTAAGTGTTTAAGATCACAAGTTGCAGTGATATTTCATTTTGAAATTGTGAACTTTGTACAATTTTTATCATGCTGGTGTTGACATCTCTTACTCAATAAAAATTGTGTTGCCACATTACATGTCCCTTTTATTCAACATACCGGTATACGTTTGTAATAACTTTTTTGAATTATCATATTTAAATCATCAAGCTGTTTCAGTACATCAGTGACGAACTTCTGAAGACCACAGCTGGCTCAAAGTACCTCCTCCTCACAACAAAGACTAACTTGGACCTGAGCAACAAACCTACTGACCTAGAAGTATTGTCACCATGTCAGCAAGAGGAAGCAGACACACGAATGATGCTACATTTACGTCATGCTGCCGAACAGGGTCACACCAAGGCTTACCTAAGGACAGTAGTGATGTGGTTGTGCTGCCCATCAATCTGTTCCAGGAGTTAGGCCTCTCAGAGCTGTGGATATAAAGATATTCCAATCCACCACATCTCAGAAATGTTGGAATCTCAAAAATGCCAAGCACTGCCCCTCTTCCACGCGTTCACAGGATGTGACGTTGTATCAGCAATGTATGGAATTGGGGAAAAAAAACTGCATGGAATGCGTGGGTAGCTTACCCAGAAGTCACCGACACCCTCATTGTGATCACCCAAGACCCAACCAGCCTCACACTGGAATCAGTGCACATGCGAGTTCTCGAACGCTGGACTGTACTCATGTATAGTAAGAACTGCGGTGTCAAGTCAGTCAATGAAGCCCGTAAGCTTCTTTTCACTCATGGCCTCAAGTCCCTGGATTCAATCCCCCGACCCAGCATGCCTTATTCCAGCATGGGAAGCGTGCCCTGCACACTGAAGCTTTTGTCTGGAAGCAGTCCCTCTCCAAAACTCCAGAGATTCCAGACCCCAGTGAGTGTTGGGAATGGAATGACAGAACCAAAGTCTGGGTGCCATATTGGACAGATCTGGAAGATGTCAGCAAGAGACTCAACTGTGGCTGTGTGGTTGCTTGTAAGGGCAAGTGTGAGGGAGGGAGGCTGTACTAATGATGAAGAGTGAAACAATTTTTTTTTTTTTTTTTATAAATACATGATGTTTAAGTATGTATTGTTTTTTTGTTTTTTTGTTGTTGTTGTTGTGTTATTTGACTAAAATGTAATATTGATCCTTAACATGGTGAAAAGCCTAATATAACTTTTCACTGTGACATAGTTCTGAAGTTGTGTTCATTTAAAGCCTCAACAATGGTCCTTTTGGTCACAACATGTGATTTTTTACACTATAGTGATAGTGACCTGTCCAATCAACGAAGAAAGGCATACCTTGGAGGTAAAAATATGGGTCTAGGGCCCTGAGTAATATTTCAATGTGACTTTTTCCAGAGATATTGACAGTTTATTTGAGCTAAATATGATTATATAATAGTAACATGGAAATGGACTTAAATATACAACAATTTAAGACTAAAGGAAGCTGAGATATAACCTTTTCTCTTTTCGGCGGGGCCAATTTGGATTTTATGGATAACTGCCACTAGGGGGACCACTCCAACTTGTATGGATTTTTGAAAACCTTAGGCCTACAGTCTATGGCCTATAGTCCAGGTGTCACCAACCCGTCGATCGCAAACGACAAGTCGATCTTGGAAGCATTTTAAGTCGATCGCGAAGAGTTTTCAAAATCAGAGAAAAAACACCAATATTTGTATTCATTATTATTTATTAATTAAAAATGCACCATGTGTGAGCCTACTGTATGTAGTAAATGGTGTCTAGGGGATGCGGAGGCGCGCCGTTACAATGACGTCATTTTTGGCTCATGCGGACGCGTCGAGTATAAACAAGGCTTCACGCTTTAACCAGCTCAGCCACTTCACACTACGCTCACATCAAGCTCTTCAAGCTAACGATACGCAAGCTAACGAAACGATGGCACAACGTGAGGGAGTAGGCTATTGCTAGTTTGAAATCTGCAGGGGTTTTCCTGCATAGACAATTATGAGGCGGTCGCCTCCGTCAAATTTATAGTTAAGAAACAATATAACGTTATAGACTACACACGACCAGAGTGCTGTTTTCCTGAATGCAAGCACGATTGAAACCAAAATATTGATTTCATAACAGATTTCAATAAACAAATAGTTAAAATTAAGTTACTTACATTTTTAGACGTAATTACTGTTTTTGTTCTGTTTCAGCAGCGAAAATAGTTCCAAACAACAGAACCAGCGCATCTCACAGCAACACTCATCCATTATTCATTACTGAATGATTCAGCGTTTTGACCTAATCGCTCGAGTCAAAGATTCAATTAACGTTACCCATTATTAAACCGCCGCATTCTGAATCAATCAGCCGTTTGAACGAATCGTTTGAATGAATGACTCAATGACTCGCTCATTAAGACGGCCGCCTGCCGCTTTTACTGGCGGTTTAGTTTCAAAGTATCATTCTTTTCAACATTCCTTATTTGTATATTCAAAAAATATTCAAAACAATCTCATAATCTCATTTAAACACAGTTATAATTTTTCAATG